TCCATATAAAGTTGAGGATTGGTTTTTTCCATTTCTGTAAAGAAGGCTATTGGAATTTTGATCAGGATTGCATTGAATCTATAGATTGCTTTAGGTAGGGTTGATATCTTAATATTAAGTCTTCCAATCCATGAACATGAAACATCTTTCATTTATTTTTCTTTAATCTCTTTTGGCAGTTTTACAGTTTTCATTGTGTAAGTCCTTCACATCTCTGGTTAGATTTATTCCTAGGTATTTTATTCTCTTAGATGCTATTGTAAATGGAATTGTTTCCCTAATTTCCCTTTCAGATTTCTTATTGTTGGTGTATAGAAACCCAACTGATTTTTGTTTGTTGACCTTGTACCCTGCAACTTTGCTAAATTACTCTATTAGCTCTAGAAGTTTTCTTACAGACTCTTTAGGATTTTCTATATATAGGATCATGTCATCTGCAAACAGAGATAATTTTACTTCTTTTCCCATCTGGATACCTTTTATTTTTCTTGTCTTATTGGTCTGGCTAGAACTTCTAATATTGAATAGAAGTGGTGAGAGTGGGCACCTTTGTCTTGTTCCTGATTTCAAGGGGAAAGGTCTTTCTCCATTAAGTATAATGTTGGCTTTTCATATATGCCCTGAATCATATTGAAGAATTTCCCTTCTATTCCAATCTTCTTTAGGGTTTTCATCAAAAAAGTATGTTGGATTTTATCAAATGTTTTTCTGCATCTACAGAGATGATTATACTGTTCTTTTCCTTTGTTCTATTGATGAGGTATATTTGCTTTTCTAATGTTGAACCATCTCTGTGTTCCTGGAATACTTGGTCATGGGGTATGATTCTTTTAATATGCTGTTAGATTCTGTTTGCCAGTATTTTGTTGAGGATTTTTGCATCTATATTCCTAAGAGATATTGGCCTATTGTTTTCTTTTCTTGTGTGCCTTTGTCTGATTTGAGTATCATGTTATGTTTGCTTCTTAGAATGAATTAGGAAGTATCCCTTCCTTCTCTATCTTTTGAAGAGTTTAAACAACATGGGTGGCAATTCTTCTCTAAATGTTTGGTAGAATTTCCCAGTGAAGCCATCTGGTCTGGGACTTTTTTGTTGTTGTTGCTAGGAGGTTTTTCATCACTGATTATGGGGCTTGTTGTGGGGCTGTTGAGACTTTCTACTTCCTCTTGTGTCAGTTTGGGTAGGTTGTGTGCCTCTAAGAATTTGTCCATTTCATCTAGGTTATCCAGTTTGTTCCCATACAGTCGTTCATAGTATTCCGTCATTATTCTCTGTTTCTATCAGATCAGTTGTAATGTCTCCTTCATTTTTTATTTTGGTTGTTTGCATATTTTCTCTTCCGTCAGTCTGGAAACCTGGTGGCATAGAGGTTAAGCGCCACAGCTGCTAACAAAAAGGTCAGCAGTTCAAATCTATGAGGCACCCCTTGGAAACTCTATGGGGCAGTTCTACTCTGTCTTATAGGGTCGATATGAGTCAGAATCGACTCGACGGCAATGGGTTTTTTGGTCAGTCTAGCTAAGAGTTTGTCAGTTTTATTGATCTTTTCAAAGAACCAGCTTCTTGTTTTATTGATTTTATTTTTCTGTTTTCAATTTTGTTTATTTCTGCTCTCATCTTTGTTATTTCCTTTTTTCTGGTAGGTTTAGGCTTAGTCTGCTCTTCTCTTTCTAGTTCCTGGAGTTGTCAAGTTAGGCTGTTAGTTTGATATCTTTTTTCTTTTTTTATGTATGAATTTATTGCTATAAGTTTCCCTCTGAGTACTGCCTTTGCTGCATCCCATAAGTTTTGGTATGCTGTGCTTTCATTTTCATTTGACTCTAAGAAATTTGTGATTTCTCTTTTGATTTCTTCCTTGACCCACTGGTGGTTTAATAATGTGTTGTTTAATTTCCATATGTTTGTGTATTTTCCAGGTTCTTTTTTCTTTCTGTTATTGACATCTAGCTTCACTCCACTGTGGTCAGAGAAAATACTTTGTGATCTAAAATATGATCTTATTCTGGAGAATGATCCATGTGCACCGGAGTAGAATGTATATTGTGCTGTTTTGGGATGGAGTGTTCTATATGTCTTTTAAGTCTAGTTGGTTTATAGTATCATTCAGGTCCTCTGTTTCCTTGTTCATCTTCTTTCTAGATGTTCTGTCCAATATTGAAAGTGGTGCATTGAGTCTCCAACTATTATTGTAGTACTGTCTATTTCTCCCTTCAAGTCTGTCACTATTTGCTTTATATATTTAGGTGCCCTGTTGGGTACATTATATATTTATAATTGTTAGATCTTGATTAATTTACCCTTTTATATGTCCACCTTTATCTCTTCCAACAAATTTTGTCTTAAAATCTACTTTGATATTAAGATTGCCACCCTAGCTCTTTTGTTTATTATTTGCATGGAATTTTTTTTTCCACCCTAACAATGAAAGGATCTTAAGGAAAAGCAGCATGTTGTTACTAAAAGTGTCTGACATTCAACCTTGACAAAATAGCATGCTATGCATTAAGTGTCAGCAAGCTGCTCAGGAAGTCAGTGAGCATATTTGTATCCATACATAATACATAGAAGCTAAGCCATAAAAAAGGGGGTGGGGAAGAATGAAGAAAACCAAAGTCTTCAAACCCTAAGAAACTCATGCTGCCATTTTAGTAGCAATTGGGTTTATTCAATTGTGAACATAGGTGTTTGTGCACACCTCAAGGATGGGTCTTTAGCCTTCTCATGACTTCAACTATCTTCATCAGATGCCTCCAAATTGCTCACACTTTTTTGCCCCCAACACTGCTTTAACAAGCTCCAGCTTCATTTTTCCAGCTAGCTGCTGGGCATCCCTAACCAGATAGCCTATAAAAAACGAAAAAACCAAACCCGCTGCCATCGAGTCGATTCCGACTCTTAGAGATCCTGTAGGACAGTAGAACTGCCCCATAGGGTTTCCAAGGCTGTAATCTTTATGGAATCAGACTGCCACATCTTTCTCCCCAGAGCAACTGGTGGGTTCAAACTACCAACCTTTCCAGGCACTTTAGCCACTATAAAAAAAAGAAGAAAAAAAAAACCTGTTGCCATTGAGTGAATTCTGACTCACAGTGACCCTATAGGACAGAGTAGAACACCCTACAGGGTTTCCAAGGAGCACTTGGTGGATTCGAACTGCCAAACTTTTGGTTAGCAGCTATCGTGCTTAACCACTATGCCACCAGAGTTTCCTTAGCTGCTACAGATCCCTCAAACGTAATGTATTCAAACCAAAAATCATCTCTGCCCATCTCTCCATCCCAAAGACGGTACCTGTTAGTGGTACCGTCTTGCCTATCTGTGGTACCATCTCCCTTATCACTGACACTTAGCAACTGATTCTTCAATTCTCATTCCCCATCTATCCCCCATATCTAATCAATTGTTAAGTCTTTCCATGCTACCTTATATTTTACACATCCCCTCTTCTTCACCCCACTTCTTCTACCCTAAATGCAATTTGTATTAGTTCCTGCCTAGAATTCTACCTATACTACTACAACATCTGATCATTTATCTCCTCTAGTAAACGGTAGACTCCTTGACTGAAGAATTCCTATCTGAGTCACTTGATATTCTCAAAGACCCTAGGGATGTTTCACCAACTGCTCCCCTGATTCCTAATCCTTCCCTTCTCCAACACATACAGATCTATCTTCAGATTCATCATCTTCATGCATTATGTCTGACAAAGTCACTCCCCAATGCAACAGAATGACCATGGGCTTTGGAACCAGACATCTGAGTTTGATCCCAGCTATACCACAATTAACTATTTGACCTTGTGTAATTACTATTATCCTCTCCAAGCCCTCACTTTCAGCAATTCTTTCTTTGCAAATTTGTTGTTAGGATTAAGTGAGATGTGTAAATCCCCCAAGATACTGTAGGCTTAATTTTTTCTTCTTTACACTGCTCAAAAAAACTTAACTCCCCATCAACTATAGAACTAAGTCCAAACTCCTCAACCTGGCCTTGAAGGTCCTCACTATCTCTCAATCTATCTTTCTCACCTAGTTTCCTACTCTACACATTAGGTGCTAAACTGTGTCTGTTTATCTGCTTTGTTCACATGGCTCCTATCTTCCTAGAATGATCTTCCTTTCCCTCTGCTCCACCTACTTGCTCAAATTCTGTCCATATTTAAAAGCCAGAGCTCAAGTGCCACTTCCACTATTAGGCCTTCCAATATTGGTGAGAAATGCGTACTCTAACATTGGATTCCCATAGCCCCTTTATTAAGGTGCTTATCACTATCTACACCTTGAGATATGTGCCTTATCTCCTATATTAAATGTTTGATTCCTTGACTGAAGAATTCCTGTCTGATTCACTTGATATTCTCAAAGGCCCTGAGGATGTTTTGTACATAATATGAACCTAATCAATATCTGATGAATTCAGGTAAACATATACAATGAAAATAAAATAGCAACTGCTGAGTAAATAACAGTTTGCATGGCCTGAACCCACATTCTTGTATGAATTTTCCTTCCCTGAAAGGGCCTTAGCTATTTCTCTCCTGAGTTAAAAGGCAGTAGAAGACTCTCAGCTCTGATTCCCATATCCTAACCCACACCCTACCCCAGATCCAGTGGTGTGCTGGAGCTGGCTCATGCTAGCTCACAAGAGCCAATTCTGCTCCTCTGTTCTCAATTTTGCATTCAGTGACATCATGTTGGAAGCTTGAAATCAGCCATGGTGGGATTACACCATAGAAATTTTACGGAGAGCCAGTTTATTAGTGCACCACTGCCTGGATCCCAAATTCTGCCTTATCATTTTTCTACAGAAACTTTGGGTTGCCCTACACATCAGGTCCCCAGGTGACATAGAAATTGGCCCAGCTATGCTTTCTAGTTTCTTACCATCCCCCTCATGCATCTGGTGGGAATTCAGGGGGATTAATGGAACTCTGAAGTCAGACTGAGATGAAAAATTGGATGGCTATGTTGCTGAGTTTTCTGCTCTAGTGCCTTACCTTTCTGCATTGGGCCATCCCTCAGGTAGAAGCCATAGCCATCACTGCCTTTCTTCATCTCCACAACTCGGGGCTGGTGGGGTAGCAGTTTCAAACTAGTTGTTTCTCTCTTGAACTGTATCTTCTGCTCACTATAGCGCTTGTCAGTTTCCTTGTCTACTAGTAGGAACACAACACGGCTTCCTGACTTCTTTACCTATAACAACACACAAGTGAGGAACAACATCAACCCCAAGAATGATGCTATGGAATAAGGAAGATTCTCCATAAACGCACGTAGGCTCTGGATTTAGTGGGTAACACGGGATGGAAGGCCCGAGTTTAAGTTGTGTTGTACTATGTCCTAACACCTAACTGAGATTTATCTACCTCCACATCTACAGTTGTTCTTCCCTTTGTTAAGGATGACCTCACCCATGCAAATGCCACTGAACCCAAGTGAGAGCTGGAATTCAGAAAACTAAGATGTGCTTAGGTAAAGGCTGGAACAGGAGTTTGGAAGATAAAGTTAAGGGCCTACTTTAAAAAAGCACTACTAAGAAGAATAGTCAATTTTCAAGGTTCAATATGACCTCAAAAGAAAATCTCAGTGTTTTCCATATGTCATAGAACCATGCTGGGACATAACATATGGGGATAATAGGCCTTCCAATACTCCTCATATGTAGCTTCCTATCTACCACCACATTGGTTATCTTCCAGTTTATGTTAAAATATTTATCTAACATTGGCTCAGCACTGAATTTATTATAAATTCAGAAGGGACTCCCAATCAGGTACAAATAAAATCTAAAGAACAAAGCTAATGGTACTTTAGACCATTTTTCTTCAAGATTTCATGAGACTATCAAAGGCCTTATTCCAAACCCTATATTAACACTGCTTATACATTAAGTAAATTTATGCTAAAGATAATTCAAAAACAGCTGCAGCAGCACATGCAACAGGAACTGCCAGAAATTCAAGCTAGATTCAGAAAAGGATGTGGAATGAATGATATCGTTGCTGACGTCAGATGGATCTTGGCTGAAAGCAGAGAATACCAGAAAGCTCCTTACCTTGTTTTATTGACTATGCAAAGGCATTCGACTGTGTGGATCATAACAAATTACGGATAACTTTGCAAAGAATGGAAATCCCAGAACACTTAATCGTGCTCATGAGGAACCTGTACATAGACTAAGAGGCAGTTGTTTGAACAGAACAAAGGCATACTGCATGATTTAAAATCAGAAAAGGTGTGTATCAGGGTTGTATCCTTTCACCATACTTATTCAGTCTGTATGCTGAGCAAATAATCCAAGAAGCTGGACTATATGAAGAATAACATGGCATCAGAATCAGAGGAAGATTCATTAACAACCTACGATACGTAGATGACACAACCCTGCTTGCTGAAAGAGGACTTGAAGCACTAACTGATGAAGATCAAAGACTATAGCATTCAGTATGGATTATACCTCAACCTTAAAAAAAAAAAAAAAAAGTCCTTACAACATCATGATAAACAGAGAAAAGATTGAAGTTGTCAAGGATTTCATTTTACTTGGATCCACAATCAACGCCCATGGAAACAGCAGTTAGGAAATCAAACTTCTTTGCATTGGGCAAATCTGCTGCAAAAGACCCCCTTAAAGATGTTACTTATGAGGACCAAGGTGCATCTGACCCAAGTCATGGTATTTTCAATCGCTTTATATGCATGCAAAAGCTGGACAATGAATAAGAAGACCGATGAAGAATTGATGCCTTTGAATTATGGTGTTGGCGAAGAATATTGAGTATATCATGAACTGCCAGAAGAACAAAGAAATCTGTCTTGGAAGAAGGACAGCCAGAAAGCTCCTTAGAAGTGAGGATGGCATGACTTTATCTCACATACTTTGGGCATGTTATCAGGAGGGACCAGTCCCTGGAGAAGAACATCATGCTTAGTAAAGTAGAGGGTCAGCGAAAAAGAGGAAGACCCTCAATGAGATGGATTGACACAATGGCTGCAGCAATGGGCTCAAACATAACAACAATTGTGAGGATGGTGCAGGACGAGGCAGTGTTTCATTCTGTTGTACACAGGGTCGCTATGAGTCGGAACCAACTTGATGGCACCTAACTACAACATACCACTAGTGAGTATGTCCACCCTTAATACATTATAAACTCATTCTGGCACCTAACATCCCTGTTTTCCTGGCTCTTCCAATAAGGGTAGAGTGAAAAGATAGGGTAAAAAATAAATAAATAACAAGCACTCCTTGGGGTGTACCTTTTCAACTACTTCCTCATGGCTGGCATTTTCTACATTCTCTCCATTCACTTCAATCAAATGATCATCAGCTAGGACACCAGCTTTCATAGCCACACCTTGAGGTGTTATATCAGTCATGTATACTCCCTTTTTACCTGCAAGAGGGTAGGAAGCGGACAAGGGTTACAATTCCATTGCACAGACAAACTAGAAGTTCAATAAAGTGTTTTCTCCCAATAATTTGAAATTAGAACTTCCAATTTTAGGGCTAACTCAAATAGACCTTGGCTTCTGATCTAGAAATGCAATTACAGCTCTTAGCATAAAGGCTGACAGGTATTATTCAACTTGTATTTGTTTATTTTAGAAGAATTTCTCATCCCAAGTAAATGCAAGAAAGGCATCTGAGGTGGCACTGGCTTCTAGAATCAGAAAGCACCAAACAACGCCTATGTTGCATTATTGTGTCATACTCCTTTTCTTTGCATTTGTAGAATTAGAAAGCCATCTACTCCATTCCCTCTTTAATTAGTACTGTGACCAGCTGTCACTTACTAATGGAGTTGATAAATTTCACTGATACAAGCTAATGAGGATGGAAGCACAGGAGGGAGGGAAGAGCATACAGACGTATGGTCAGTCTGGATTCCTAGCTGGTGTGATTTAGATGCTTCTTAAAGAAATGCTGTCAATTCTTTCAAGATTTTAATATTTCAGTCTAAGGAAAGGATAGATTCATAATGACTAGATCAATCATTTGTAAGGAATATAGTAACTTAAACTCTATTTCCTTAAACAGTTAACATTCCTCCTGTTACCTTGTTATGTATTTTCCATGGAGAAAACATTTTCTTCATAAGACTAACCTAACCCATTCATCAAGTTATCACAAAAGCCAAATGAGTAGAATTTGAATTATGATTTTTTAACCATTTTAATGATAATGGACTTCTAGGAAATGCCAAGCTTTCCTTGACCACCCACCCCAATGTGTTTAATAACTAAAAAACTTGAGAAATACTTTTTATAGCTAGTTTACATCTCTTGCAACAAGTCAAATGAGCCTTGGAAATGATTTTATGTTTCCCATTGGTCTGCTCCTTTATCACTTGAATTATGACTACCCCCAATGCCTCTCTAGTACCAGAAAGAACTGGGCAGGGGCAACATTAGAGGTGGAATCAGCAGGCCAACATAGCTCCTCTAGTTCCAGTCTAGATCCCAGAGAAACCATTACAGAACTATGGTCAACTGAGCACAGGTCGGTCTGTACCTCTGAAATTCTAGAAATAAAACTTCTAGTACTTTCTGATGGTCGGAGTTTCTCAAGTCACTACGCACCTCTCAGCTGGAGGTCAGCGAAGCACCTCAGAACAGGTGAGACTGGGCCACAGCTGAGGACCCTACATGAATATCACAGCAGGGTAGGGATTTTTGCAGTATCCCCAGCACTTATAGTGTCTGACACATCAATAGGTGCTCAAGAACTTACTGAATCAATGAATAACCACCTGGGCACTCAGGGATGAGAAGTGATACCAATCTTACTCAAAAGTAGCTATTACAAAGAACTCCCTTTTTCTTGTCTTATTCCCCACTGTCCCCTCCATCCTCACCCTAAAGAAAATAGAAAACAGCAAAGAAGCACCAACCCTCTAACCCTCTGGCCTCAAAGGCTCAGCATGACAAACTGGGAGGCAGGAGCACCCAGTACCCCTCCACTGCTGACCAATATCCAGATCCTGACAGGCAAGGGAAAGGGCAGGGAGAGAGGTAGCGAACTGCTGTAGGATATCCATAGCAACTGAGAAGTTGGTCAAAGAAAAGTCATAACCAATAACTTCTTCTGGGAAGTTGGTTGTCCATTTCCACACTCAAAGCTCACCTTGGACAGTTTTCAGAGAGAAGCCGTAGCTGTTCCCCTCCTTCACCAGGTAGCACAGCCGAGGCTGGGTCCAAGTCTCTGTTTCACCATTCCTCACCGCAGGCGGCTCCTTATTACTCAAACCTGGCTCCTGACTTTGACCCAACTCCTTCAAGTCTACCTGTTTTTTAATGGCACTCTCATAGGAATCCCCATCCAGAACTAATAAAGTCACTGAATTCCCACTCTTTCTGACCAGATCCACAACCTAGGAGGAAGGAAAAAAAGCATAACATTAGCCAATAAGCCTCTATCAACTGCCAAAGGGAAATGCTCACCACTGGCCCTGGAGATTCTGACAGCTGACCCCTGACACCCAAATAGTAAGCAGACAGTGCCCCCAAACCACCTCCCTGACCCTCCTGAAATCTAGGTGCAGATTCAGCTGGGCCTCTGGCCCTTCCGGAATCTAGAGTGTGACCCAGCTCCAGCCCAGAGGGCCCTTAAAAGGACTAGTCCATTCTGGAGATAAATGCTGCCCTAGAGCATAATAGGTCCTTCTGGGTCCGCAGTGAGAGTGACAGCATGTGTAATGAGAAGAACACCCACTTGGAGTCAGACAGAATTGGGCTCAAGGCCAGGCCCTCCCATATATTCACTCTATGAGCACATTACCAAGTTGAGCCTCTATTTTATCTGTGAAATGGTAATATCTACCTCATAGGATTAGGGTAAGGATTTAACAAAACAATGAATATGAAATTGCCTAACACAGTTCCTGGCATATAGTGAGCATGCAATGCATGTTAGACCTAACTCTATTCAAAGCTAGGAGTATTTTCTACTGTTCTTGGTTAATTGTAGTGGAGTTGGTTGACAGCAGAAGGTACAAAAATAAAAGTGTCCTGCCTTGCCAGCAGAGGCCAGGAAAGAACCAAACTCTATTGGCCCTAGAAACTATACCCAGCAAAGAAGATATGGGGCTGGAGAAATTCTGGGAGGAGAACCCCAAATGTCTCATTCACCTGCATATGCTCTTCCTTGTCCACGAAGACACCATTGATCCTAAGAACTCTATCTCCATCCTGGAGGCCAGCCTCCTCTGCTGGGCTACCCTTCTCAACCACTCGGACCAGGTGACCATCAGTGTCCTTCTCAATTCTCAGGAAGAAGCCATAGCTTTGCCCTTCTTGTTTGGAGAGCTTACATTCTCGGGGGTTGAAGGTGGAGGCCATTTCTGCGATGAAAAACAAGTGGGTAAATCCATGGGAATTGGAATGAGAACTCTGTCCTCTACTGCCTATAATTCTATTTTTCTAATCACACTAAATCTAGAATACTTGGGTAGCAACATTGGGGGTATAAAGGCCATTTTACATGCCTTGCTAATGACTTCCAAAATCTATTTCCCCAAGTATAATCCTTTTACTTGAGTTTCAGACCCATGTATTCATAATATTAGACACAGATGCTTCAATTTCAACAGCCCCAAAATCAAACTCCTCTTTCGTCCTCGACAGAAAAGAAGTTAGGTTCTTTCCTCCCTGACAGAAAAGAAGTTAGGTTCAAAATACATGATCCAAAAAAATTTGAGAAGACAAAACCAAAAACCAGACCCATTGCTGGCAAGTCGATTCCAACTCATGGTGACCCACGTGTGTCAGAATAGAACTGTGTTCTGTAAGGTTTTCAATGGCTGTAATCTTAAAGATCACCAGGCCTTTCCTTCTGCGGTGCCCCTGGGTGGATTCAAACCCCAACCTTTCAGTTAATAGCCAAGCACAAACCATTTGTGCCACCCAAGCCCACTTTTATTCAAGTAATTTTAAGAGCCTATCAAATTCTAGACACAGGATAAATCTGTTAAGATAGACCCATACCTTGCTTCATATTATCAGGGAGAATAAAACTATACTTTTACAACAACATGTGGTAAATGCTATGCAGGGAAAAATAGAGTGATAAGGAAGAATATAACCAAGGTTCTTGGGAGTAGGGAATGGGGGTGGGGAAGAAGTGGGAATGACTTCTTGGAGGAATGATTTTTCTAAGACCCAAAGGATTAGTGGATGTGAGAAAGGGCAGGACCAGAAGACCTCAGACAATTAAAAACAGAAGCTAGGCTTCAGAGCTGGCCTGCTGCATTGGAGATACAGTTAAAAAGTAGTTTCACAGGACCCTGCGGTTTCTCATCAGAGCAGAGCAGGGATGCCCAGTAGAGAAAGAATTCCTGTGGTCAGGTCAGGTTCTCCCTTCTGAAACAGCTTCCATGTCCATCTGTCCCATCCTGTCTCTCCAGTAGCCCCATTGCAGGAACAAGTTTCTGTGCCACAGGAGGATGACGGGATAACTGCAAAAACCAACAGCTGGGGCTTTGGCACCCAGTTATCATTAAGGGGAAGACTCCTGCCAGTGCCCCCTGAGCCCTTCTGGCTCAAACATTTTTCTTTCATAGGATAATCAGAATGGGGGCCTGAACAGTAAGAAGCTGATATGAAGCAGAGAGCCTCAGAGCAGAAGGCTGGACTCTGTTCACTAAGCTGTCTCCAAGGCATGTGCCTTTGTTCCCCTCATCACAGTTCCCCATCAGTAAATCAGAAGAACAAACCATCTGATCCTTCCCTTCTGGAGAGGAACAGATGACTATTCAGGGTGTAGGGGTTGGGTGAAGAAAGAATTGGCAACCAAGTGTGCCAGACTCCCTAGAAGCCATATCATGGTGACTCAAGATAGCCATCTCTGACTTTGGTATCCATAGAGACATACAGTACTAACCTAGTAGAAAGCCTCTCACTGCCCACCGACTGCCATTCCTGCAGTCTCAGCAAAGTCTAGCAGCCATACCACCAGTTGCATGAATGACTAAATGGCCAAGAAAACAAGAAACACAGACAATTTTCGAAGTGATCTCTTACCAAGGGTTCAGGGTCTAAGCCCTTCCTGAGTATCAAGGGAGAAGGAAAGTAAAGCCACATCTGCCAGTGGTCATCACCCACACCCGCGGGAGAGTTTAGTTGCTCTGCCATTATCAAGAGGCATGAGCAGCCACCAGGAAAATGCTGCTCTATGAGACAAAAGGGGACAGTAGGTAGTTAGGGGAAGAGTCCCTATGGGTCACAACAGAATATTGTTCAATATAGTGCGAGAAGATGAGCCCCCTAGGTTGGAAGGCACTAAAAATACACTGTGACCACAGCAATGGGCTTGAGCTACCAACAATCATGAAGATGGTGCAGGACCAAGCATCATCTTGTTGTTATACATGGGGTCGCCATGAGTCAGAGTGGACTTGACAGCAACTAACAACAGGGCATCACCGGAGCCAGGTTTCCTCACATGCAGCACCTGTTTATGGTCCACTCTGACTCCCTGATCTTTTCTCTTTCTGTTGCTCATGCGGGCTTCAGTTCTGTTTTCCAGCTCGAATTTACATCTATGCCCAAGCTTACCTCTAAGCTCCCCATCAACTCTTAATTTTACAGCATGAAAAAGCGTGGAGAATAAAAAAACGCCTTCTTAAAGTTGGGGGTAATTATAAGGAAATTTCATCCAAATCCTACAAAATTTAAATTATGTCCTTTCTTGTAATCAAAATTAGTCTTAGTCTGGATGCTCTGCTGAAACCTGTCCACCATAAGTGACCCTACTGCTATTTGAAATACTGGTGGCATAGCTTCCAGCATCATAGCAATATGCAAGTCACCACAGTAATAAGACAAACTAGGAAGACAGGCCTGGTGATCCACTTCTGAAAATTAGCCACTGAAAATCCTATGGATCACAACAGAATATAGTCCAATGTAGTGCTGGAAGATGAGCCCCCTAGACTGAAGGCACTCAAAATACATAGTGCCCACAACAATGAACTAGAGCATACCAGCAATCATGAAGATGTTACAGGACCAAGCAATATTTTGTTCTGTTGTACATGGGGTTGCCATGAGTCAGAGCCAACTTGATGGCAGCTAACGATTATTAAATTTAAGTCCATTAGATGCTATTATTTTCATAAAGAAATGAGGCTGTTTGTGACCAACATACAGATGTTCATTTCTTAGGAACCCACTCCAAAATTCAGCTTTATCACACCCTTCAGTGTCAGTCACATGCTGTTACTCTCTTTCTCTGTAGACTGAGGATCAAGTGATACCTCCTCACTAATATGTTGATAGTCCTATACTTGGGGATGGGGAGAGGCAAAGATATCCTGGACCAGAAGGCTTCATTGAACACCTTGCTCAAAAACTACTGGGTTATACAAGAAATTAAGGATGGAATACAGAAATTCATAGAATCAAATGAGAATGAAAACACATCCTACCAGAACCTATGGGACACAGCTAAAGCAGTGCTCATACGTCAGTTTAGCAATAAACGCACACATCCAAAAAGAAGAAAGGGCCATAATCAAAAGACTAACCCTACAACTGGAACAAGTAGAAAAAGAGCAGCAAAAGAAGCCCTCAGGCACCAGAAGAAAGGAAATAATAAGAATTAGAGCAGAATTAAATGAAATAGAGAA